GTTATCATTTAATGAACAATTCATGTTGTCAAAAAAATGCAATAATAATATTGTTGAGGAAGAAGAAACCTTGAATCTTAACACAGTTATAAGAGTTTTGAGTAAAAGGATTGGGACAAGTGAAACATTCGGCGAAAATATAATATTTATGTTGAATCGTTCAGGTAATCAATCGATCAATAATTTAGTTAATATTTTTGATAATAATTATTAATTTTTATACAATTGTCTTTAAAATAAAGTTAAACCGCATATTCAGATGCTTATATTAAAATTGTTATATGAGATATTCACAACGCCAGAAACATTTGAATATTTTTACACCAATGATTTAAGAGTATTGATTGATGTGTTTATTAGAGAACTTTATGATTTGCCTGATGAAAGTGAAGCGGTAACTATTATTTATCCTTATTATGATTATTATCATTTCAAAGTTTTTTTTTCTCCCCCACTTACTAATTTCTTTAATTATTATAGGTTCGACACACATATCTTCGAGTTCTTTGTCCACTAATTTCCAACACTCAACTAAATAGAGATTACTACAAACAAAATCAAATATATAAATTATTATTGGATTTGAACGGAACTTCCACAAAAAATTTTAAGCCTGTTTCACCTACAACACAAAGATTGGTTGATAGATGTTTATTTACCGATTATCTAAAAGGAATTTCACCAAACACTAATAATAACAATAATCACAATCATAGTATTAGTATTAATAACAGCAGTAGTGGTAGTATAAATAATATTAGTAGTAACGATATTAAGAATTATAATAAATATTATTACCAAAATCATGATGAAGAAATTAGACTTGTACCAACCCCAAATACTTTAATGATAGGGATGGATAAATCTGATTCAATTGTTGTTGTAAATAACGATAATATTGTTATTAATAATATTAATAGTAATAATAATAATCATGTTAATAATGTTAATAATGTTAATAATGTTGCTAGTCATCAAGAACTTTTATTGACTAATTAGAAATTACAATTTTCAAATTTATATAATCAACGTTTTAAAAAAAACTTAATTTACAAGTATCCTTATTCAACTAATTAATTTTCATAATTTTTTATTACATATAAATCATTAATAATAAAATTACAATTAATTAATTTTGTGTCTTCTTCATAAAATACCTAAAAAACCATATAATCGTAATATATCCCATATTAATGTGGTATTAAAAATCCATATCCGCTCTGGCATCATTATGCCATCCAATTCCTAAATTATTTGGGATTATGGCATCCCAAATGTACAAATTAAATAATATCCTTCCTCCCTATCGTATGATAGATATTCTTTGGCGTATTCGTGTTACAATAAGGTCAAAAACGATAAAAAAAAAAAATTTTTACGCGTTCAATATAATAATAAAACAAAAATTATAATGTCAATTAATATTAACAAAATTTCGACTATAGTCAATACTATCAAACTTTATTACAATTCTGATTTAAATTGTCAAGCTACCATTGGAATTTTGTCAAAATGGTTAGAAACAAGAAACATTATCGTTGCCACTGGTAATTTACATAGTATTTTACAAGCTCATTCGGATGAATTTTTGTTAAGTAAAGCTGTTGGTGCCGATAATATCACAGTTAAATTGAGAACCCGCAACAACAATGACAATAATAATAATAAACCCATTATTGATGGTGGTGGTGGTGGTGGTGGTGGTGGTGGTAATAATTTTATTAATACTATTAGTAATAGTGGTGATATTAGTAGCAGTGCACAACTCGACAGTAGTTCTGAAGATTTAATAAATTTTGATATTAGTGATGATGATGACCAGGAAGAGAATGATCCTATTGTTGTAGGAATAGGTAAACAAGAATTTGGTATGGAAATGAACCAAAATCGGTTAAAAAAAGAATTTCGAAGAAATCAACAGTTACAAAAGCAGAAAAACAATCATCTTAATCATTGTCATCAAAAACAAAAATTTCTAAATGGAATAACATCAAAAATAAATAAAAAAGATATTAGAGCCATATCAATGGCAAGAAGTTATCTGGATAAACATTTGGTTGATTCTACTTTTGAATTAGAGAGGCATTTAAAGAATGCTGACGCACTAAGTCCATCAAGAAATTTCAAAAATTTTCTAAATGAATATGATGAAATTTTCTATGTTCATAAACAGCGAGGTATTAACTGTGTTCAACTCAAAAATCCCTCAAGGAATTTTGTCAATAAAAATATTAAGACAATGATTGATGTTAGAATGGAGCAAACTGAAAATCACATTAGAGATTACATTCAACAAAATGATACATCAGATAATCATGTAGTGAGTACTGAACTGATTATATACCTTAGAGGCATCAAAGGTACAATCACATACGACCTTAAAGATTTTCTTAATAATTGTTCTAATTCATTCGAATGTTATGAGAATGATGGCTCATTTTTTGTAAAAAATAAAGCAAAAGCATCACAACCGATCAATCCAAGTGTATATCATAGTCAATACAGATCAAGCAGTCCTTTTGTCTCCAAGTTAATTCGCGATTTGATTGTGAAAGAGTACATAGTCACCTACTTGGAACTTGAAGAATACATCAAGAAATATTCACAACTACAAAAAACAAATCTTAAAGAATTTTTGTACAGCAATGATAAAGAGTTCAATATAACTATAATTTCTGGTGAAACTTACATCACACTCAAACCCACTGATAGAAACATATTATTTCATATTCGTAGATTTCTTTTGGAATATGGAAAAGTTCAATTGTCATTGGTTGGCAGTTATTTGAGACATATGTATCTTTCACCAATAGGCAAATTAAAAGAACTCCTATCAATATATTCAGACTTTAAATTTGATTATAAATCTGAAATTGTATTTGTCAAATCACAAGAAGCTGAAATCATTAGAGCAATTCGGAAACTTTTTGCCAGCAGTGATAATGTTGACAACAAAAAAGAACTTAAACTTACAGTTATTGCTGACCACCTTCATAAGAAAAGCTTAATACCAAATAGTAGACTGTTGAGTCTTTTAGAAAGCTATACAGAATTTGATTTCTATCAAAGTCCAGTTGACATTGTTGTAGTTCACAAACCAGATAATTTTTTACCTAATCTAAAATTATTCATTCGTAAAATGATAGTATGTAACAATGGACAAGTTGAGTTATCAACATTGTTTAGTATTATTAATTGGAAAGGTGATTATCCAGTTGATAAGTTACATTATTTTATTGTACAAAGCAATGAATTTGCACTATCTAATGTTTTTAATAGAGATAATAGGATCATGACTGTTGTAAATTTTAAATCAGCCAATAGTTCAACTAATGATAACAATAATCGTAACAATAAGGATAGCAATAGTAACAACAACGTTAATATCACTGAGAATGAAATTGATTTTATTAGTTCAACTGGTAAATTGCTTCCACAAATAAAATCTCATGATCAATTAAATAGGCATTACAATAGTTATAACTCAACAACATCATCAACAGTGAAAACTACGCCTAAAATGATACAATTGACACCAACATTAACAACATCATTATCATCATCATCATCATCACAGGTAGCAACAGGAAATACTTTGAACACTAATCAAAATAATCAAAATAATCATAATAGTACCACTAATCTTACCGTTGATGATTGTAATGCTAATAACAACAACTACCACAACATCAACAACATTATTAATAATAAAGATGCTCCACCAAATAGTACAATAAAAGCCAATGGAATTGATCAAACATTGTCATCTCCATGTTTTTCTTCAACAAAACCAAACAATATATCTTTGACAACAACAATGACAAAATCAGTATCACCATCAATTACTGATCTTAACACATCAACAAAACAGCCTAATTCTGAACCTGATTTATCAATACCACCACTATCATCAATAATAACAACAACCTCATCTACTCCTAAGAGTCTAACAAATAATTCTTTAGATTCAACCATTAAAGCTATTGACAATGACATTCATACTAATAGCATTATTGGTACTATTTACACCAATGGCACCAATGGCACCAATGGCACCAATGGTACTACTAATAATAGTACTACTAATAATGGTATTAATGGTATTGACACAAAAAAGATAACCTTCACAACATCATCATCATCACCATCACCATCACCAACATCATCATTAACATCATCATTTTCATCATCATCATCTTTTTCTTCTTTTCCTTCTTCTCCCTCTTCTGAATTAACATCATCTCATGATTTAATTTCACAAATAAGTCTGAATGATGCAAAAGAAATACTTTGTGAACACTTAAAAAATCAAGAAAAACAATTGTTTTCCAGTTTTAAAACTGTTGAATTGTGGAAAAATTATTTTGTGAAATATAAAGGAAAAACTGAAAATGAGATTAAGGTGCGAGATGAGGAGATTAAAAGAAGTCATCAAGAAATTGAGAATCTAAAGAAAATGATTGCCAGATCAAAACAATTTAAAAAATTATAATGTAATTGGTATAATAATAATTTGAAGACTTGACATTTTATTTTATTTTTCATATTATTACCAATAAAAAAAATTGATGTTCTTTTTCCCACAATTTATGATTTTAATATATTGATAAATCATATAATAGTTGACTCTAAAGCAGTAAACATGAATATGAATCTAAGGCAATTAAGCATGACTCATTACAATAAGTAAATTGAGTGATATCTGAGAAAATTACATGTGATAACTTGATAATTTCAAATTTTTGTTACCAGTACATTTCAATTGAATTTATAACAATAAAAGTTATTTATTGTTCATGTGGTACGAGGTACAAGGAAAGGAATTTTATCGTTTGAAAGTCACTGTCTTTTTTGGTAATTTAATAAGGGTTCGTGTAACGTGGTTCAAAAACCGTTCAAACTATGGTACCAGGATTATTGTGCTTTTATTAATTTTTGGGCAAAATTGAGGATAATTCTGGCCAAAATTAACATTATCAGAAAAATCAAAATACATAAAATTTAATTTTTTTAAATTGAACCTTCTTTTAAAGCTTTTTGTAATTTGAAAAGGACCTTTCTACATCAACACCAGATGTAGGCAACCAAATATATTTTAATGAAATTGAACTTAATGTTAGCAATATATTTGTTCTTTGATTCCAATAACTGTCTAAATCATCAAAATTTTCATAGATTTCCCATTCATATATAAGACCATTTGTATAGTCATTGAATTCTTTGATGACAAAATATGCTGAAGAAATGTGATGATTTGAATTTGGTTGAATACAATAAGGGTCAAAGTGCCTGATTGCTTTAAACAAGGGAACTGCTGGATGATTCTCTACATTCTTTTTAAATTTTTTTAATAATAATTTAAATGCTTATCAACATGGATCTTTTTCATGATTTATAGTATGGATGCAAAAACAACAAAATAATTTTCTTCCATCAACATAGTGGCTTTTTTCTCAGATGTTCTGATGCAGTAGGCATCATTTTGTCATTAATATATACATATAAAATATTTTTTTTTGAGAGGAAAATTTTGCTGATCACTTACATAAAAGTAAATTATTATGCTTTATACCAAAAAATGTCAAACCATTCCGCGAAACCAAATTAAACCCATCCCTAAAAATTGGTATAGTGCATGTCATCTAAATACATCAAATGCCAGTGTTGGCAAATCTGTCCAAATACCCCTTGTCCAATTGTCCAATTTGTGTCCAATTTACTGTATTAGGTAATTTGGACTAATAGATACTGCGGCATTTGGACAATTGGACAGGACAAATCCAAATAAAAATTAATTGGACACCTAAAAATGCCAACCCTGTCAAATGCTGTGCCGAGTGCCAAACTTTCAAATCCAAAAATAGCAATGATATTCTTTGGCTTCACAATATTATGGAATATTTGACATCATCATGCCTGCCTACATGCACATACAGTAAATAAATTTATTTGATATATGAGGCATGCTGCAACAAAACCAGACAAAGTGAACATTGGTGTTACCAAAAATTTCAGGGATCAAAATTTAGTAATGTGATTATTAAAATTTTCCTCTTAATATTAGGTGATATATAGAATTATCTCTATATAAAAATAGTTAATATGAAACTCATTTATATCAGATCTACTATAGAGCCCAAGAATTACAGCACCATTAGAAGTATTTTAAAAAAGGAACAAGGTGAAAAAATTGCCCCTTGCATTTTTAAATTAGCAGATACCAAATCTTTGCAAACATATTTAGACAAAGAAAGGATTACCTATGAAATTTATCAAGAGGAAAGAAAAATAATAGATGTCAGAAAAAGAAAACAAAATGTAAGTGTACTATTACCTAACAAAAAGTAAAAACATTTGGAAGAGGGTGATAAATGTGTATCTGGTGGTAAAGAATCCATTAATGCATGTGCAGTTGATGATGGTAATCAATCATCTATGTAAACAGTGTTTTTGATTTTTAATGCAGGGAGGGAACAAATCATTTTTTGTTAGTCAATTCATTTGTTGGATAATAATTAGCTAACACAATTTCTTATTATTAATAATTGGAATTCTTGAAAATCAAAACCAATTTCTACATCATCATACACAATAAATAATAATAATGTAATAAATAAATGTAATTATCATTCATCTATTTTTTATATTGTTTATTTACATCTGATGATAAAGAAAGCAATAATATGCATCAACAAGTGACTTCAACTTAACACTAAGTGACTTTGCTTTAAAGGCAATAAACATCAGCCAGGTTTTATGTTTGAAAAAAGTTATTGTGATTTTGAATATTCAAATTAAATTATATTAAATAGTTAGTCATTCAAACAAATTTTCATTTGGGTAAAAGTTAACTTTAATATATAATTTGTAATATATTACATGTACCATATTAATATGTTTACTAAATTTAAATTAAATGATAAATTAAAGAATGCTATTGCAAGTTGATTTATTAAAAAAAGTTAATTTCATGAAATAAACTATATTTTTTATACTCTGACTAAATAATCATCATAATGTTAAGTTATATACACATTAATTGAAATATTAAGAATTATATGTTATAAACAGACTGTTTGAAGTTGATGGCATTTCAGGTGTTTCATCTGTTCGTATTTGATGTGGTGGTGTTGACTGACTTAGGTTTAATAATGGATTTAATTTGTTTAGTATGATGATGTTATTTAACATTATATTATTAATGTTTAATAATGTTTCACACAGTTGAACAAATTTACTAAATTTTGTTTTTGGGATGTCTGAGAACAATGGAATTGACAATGTCTCTACTTCACATATCCTATAGAAAGGATAAAAATACCTATCAAATATATAAAAATCAATTTCTGTTTCGTGTAAATGGATCATCACTTTTACTAGTTGATCTAAATGAATGTGAAGTTGTTTATAATCTGATCCTTCACTTTTGAAGAAGTAATAATCATGATTATAAGAATCCTTGGCAAACTTTCCAAGTCTCTTTAAATCTCCAATCACATGATCTTGATGGTTTGTATTATTGTTCACAAATGGACCATGACTGATCTCGCCAAACAGAAGATCAAAATCATGATCTTTTATTTCATTGTTGAAGCAGAAAAAATCGGGAAACTTCTTAGGACCACCAATATTATTTCTATTATCAGTTGATTGACAGGAACAGCCATCCCTAAATCAATTTAATAAACAAATGGTTATTAAAAGAAAAATACTATTTTAGATTTTTTAAATGTAATTTATATATACCATCTCATTTCTATATTGTCAATATTATACAAAATAAACTTCACTATAACATTTGCAATGTCATGAGAATAGGTCCTCTCATTAATACTTGGGTCTTCTTTTTGGTATGAATTACTCTTCCAAATTTTTTTGCTAATAAAAAAATATCATCTTAATTAATTAATTAATAGTGGTTTTATAAAGAACTTATAATTGTACTCACAAACTTTTGATCAAGAAGACAATTTCTAGACATAACTCAGATTCAATGATCAATGGATTTGATGAAGTTAATTTATCATTGTATAAAAAGTTGTTAATTAAGTCCTTTTCTTCTTTCTGAAGAGTTTTTCTTTGAATATCATTCCATATGAAATCTCTGCATAGTGATTCCTTTACAAGTTTCCGATAGATTTTTTTATGATCTTGCTCAAGAAAATAATTGCAAATTACTCCATTTGAAATTAAATCATTACTATCTAACTTCAAATGTTTTATGTTATCACATATCATTTTTGGAACATCCCTCATTCCTTTATATTTTTTAATAAGCTATCAAATAAATAAATAATTCGTTAAACATTTTTATTTACATTGAAAAAATATTGAGAATTAGTAATTTTGAATTCTTACGTCAGAGATTTTGATTTGAAATTTTTCGGATTCAAACTCATATGTATTATAGTCAAGAGATAAAATGTCATCAACATCATTAGTAAGCCTATTCTCAAGAAAATAATTACAATTAATGATTGAATTTTTTATATTATATATAGAATGACAACGAGTTTTAAATAAATATCACTTACTCGGCATATGTTGTTGTTCTTCTTCTCTCGTTTTTTTTCTTTTGTTTGTCTGGGATCTGTTCATTTCTAAAAGAAAAATAATAATAATAGTTATTGATCGACATACGCGTACACGACTATTATTATTATTATAACTAGAGTAACGACGAGTGGCGGGCGATAACCACCACCACCATCCTTAAAACACTTACTTGTGTTGTTCTTTATCGCCATCTCTGTTCCTTTTTTTATTATCTCTTTTTGACATTTTTTTTTATTTACGAAAAAGAGTTTGTGATATGATTGACGCGTACACATTAATTATTTTATTGGTTTTTTTTTGGTAGGACAGACGCGAATTGATTTTTTTTCTTTCTTGGAAAAACAATTTATTTTTTGACAGAGTCAAGGTGACAAAACGTGAACGTTGTTGTTTGGTTTGGCTTGGGTCTTCTAAAGAAGAAATGTAATAACTAACCAGAGATACTTTTTTTTATTTGTATTGATATTTTTTGGTTATTATAAACATTTTAATTGGAAATCAAAACGTGGAGCAGATCTTGCTGGGTAATTACAAGATTTTCATTGATAATATTTTGTTTTTCATAATCAATAATAATAATATTATTATTATAAATATTATAATTACAAGTCAAGGCAGCACACTGTTGAATATGAAACATTTCAAATATGAAACATTTTGACATGCAATGTTTGATTATCGGAAATTGGCAAGTGTTGAAGCACACACACTACCTTGAACACATTACAGTCATTCTCTCACATTTCTCGTGTACATAAGGCTAATCTGACTTGCCTCCCCCGATGATACAACAATGCAACCGAATTCCAGGGGGGGGCCGCTCTGCCCTGGAGTTTATCGAGATTGCACCAATCGTCAAGGACGCTTTCACTAATCTTCCCAGACCAAAAATGGCTGCTGGCATGCTGGTCGAAAAGTCACCTGCAACAATCACCTCTAGGTAAGGATGGCTCTGTGACCAAGTCACAACTCTGCTGATGAATTGTAGTGCCATGTAAATATCCAGATCCATCAAAGCAACGAGAACCTGCAACTTGTTCCAAACTCAGGAAGTCACAATTCGGAGCAGGGTTGGTGGCCCTGAAATTGCATTTGGGCTCTGATGTTAAGAGGAAAGTTGTAAAATAGTGTTTGTTTTGTATAATCATTTTCCTAAATGCTCTGTTTCTCTTTAATTTTTATTTGTCCAACTGAATTTGTTATTTAAATAAATGGGGGTAGGGTTGTTGGTGAGTAGGCATGCCACTGACAAGACAGGAGACACCTTTGAGATATACCAGCCAAACTCATAGAAAGGGATCTTTTGTCCAGACTTAGGGTCACATGGATGTTAAGCACAGAAAATGTACACTATCAGTTATATTTTTTTTCAACAAAATAAACATTTAAATAATTAATTGTTAAATATTAATGCTTTTCTTTTCATAAAAACTACAGCAACCCAGGACTCAAAACTCTGAATCCAGGGAAAAACCAAAACAAAAACCCAGGTTGCAACTTCCAAGTTGGAGAATTTTCAAGCCAGTCTTAATGCCAACTTTGTACTGGAGAGGTATAACATGCAGCAATCATCACACAAATGCCAGCTATCAGTGATCATTGCCCATATGATAACAGCCAAGCCTGGTCTGAGGAGATAAGAAAAGTTTTGTCCAAAGCCTTCCAACTTGTTCAAGTCGCTTTCACCTGTGGAAAAAAAAATTCCATGGTGCTGAATGGTGCTTAATTGCACGGCGCTTGCTTGTTTGTGATAGGAAAGTTTTAATTAAATCTGACACTTGAGATCAACATCAGATTTATTATTCATGAGCAACAATAATTGATAATCAGGAAGAATAATTTATTATTGTGAATCCCAGAGATCTGGGTAGACACGCATTGTTAAGAGTTTTGTTTATGCATGGCCTTGTTATCATTACTACCTGGGTGATGCAATTGTTGGTTATGTCAATGATGATATCAAATGTATTGAATAATCATTGTGATGTATGTGGGAACAAAGGAATTCATATATGAGGAAAGTATTAAATAGCAATATTGTGTTTGTCTATTTTATTTTTTATTCTATCCAAGATATATAATTAATTATATTGAAAATATATAAAATAAAAAATTGCCAGAGCGATTGCATGGAATACAAGGCTGGACCAATAACACAATTATATGCATGTTTCAAGGTCATTCAAGCAATTATTTGAATACATTGGTGCACTTTTGTATGCAATTTAAAATCCTTTTATATTAATTTAGAGTCACATCTTTCATTGCTTTTGTAGGTTGCATTTTACAAATCAAGTTATTTACCTTAATGTAATAATCATTATATCAAATTAATTTAACTTAGATTTTCAAAAATTGATATAATTTTTCTACAATAATAGTATTTTCTATGTTTATGATCAACAATGTGTGGAAAAATTCATTGGTAAAGGCAATCAATTTTTTATTAACTTGTTATTGATGAAGTAAAATATTACAAATATTCATTTATTGTTTGCTTTTTAAGTTGTATTTTCCCATTTTGATTATTGATGATGATAATCTAGGCCATAATTACTTTTCATTGGAGCCAATCGATCAAATTTTTCAAAATCACAATCATATCTTTTAAGTCATTACCTAAAACCATTCCATTGATTCACCTAAGTTTAATTCCATTCATATACTTCCTTTCAATTTTAAAACAATTATAAAAAACCTACAAAGTGAACAAAAGATTATAAAATTATATATATATAGGGATAAGTGTATATGAAAAGTAATAAATATAATGGTTCTAATGAATATGAAAAGGCAATTGATTTTTTAGAAAAAGGTTGTAGTTGTGGTTGCTCTTCAAGAATTCCCAAGGAAGAATTTGCAGAATTAAGGGAATCTTTTCAAGCACTTTCCAAAACAGAACAAGACATATTTTTAATGGCCCAACTTAAAGCAATGGATGGGGGATCAACAAGCACTAGCAGACGTCTTAAAAAGAAAACTAGATCTAATAAAAGAACTTTCTATCATTGGGATCACAATACACTTCTTTGTCAAGAAACTTA